CGAAGAAAAAAGTGACAAAATTGATTTTGACTAGGGTCGCCCCTAGTCCAAAATTGAAAATGTATTTCCTACTTGGTTCTTCATTCAAAAAAAATTTAAGATGTTTTATTTGTTTTTGTTTTGAGCACTAGAATATTTATGCAAAGTTTCAATCCATTTGGATAAACCCTCGAAAAAAAAAGTGACAAAATTGATTTTGACTAGGGTCGCCCCTAGTCCAAAATTGAAAATGTATTTCCTACTTAATTCTTTGTTCAAAAAAAATTAGAATGCTTTAATTGTATTTGTTTTTAACACCAGAATATTAATGCAAAATTTCAATCCATTTGGATAAAGTTTCGAAGAAAAAATTGAGAAAATTGATTTTGACTAGGGTCGCCCCTAGTCCAAAATTGAAAATGTATTTCCTACTTGGTTCTTTGTTCAAAAAAATTTTAGAATGTTTTATTTGTATTTTTTTTAAGCACTTGAATATTTATGCAAAGTTTCAATCCATTTGGATAAACCCTCGAAGAAAAAAGTGACAAAATTGATTTTGACTAGGGTCGCCCCTAGTCCAAAATTGAAAATGTATTTCCTACTTGGTTCTTTGCTCAAAAAAATTTTAGGATGTTTTATTTGTATTTGTTTAAAGCACCAGAATATTTATGCAAAGTTTTAATCCATTTGGATAAACCCTCGAAGAAAAAAGTGACAAAATTGATTTTGACTAGGGTCGCCCCTAGTCCAAAATTGAAAATGTATTTCCTACTTGGTTCTTTGCTCAAAAAAATTTTAGGATGTTTTATTTGTATTTGTTTAAAGCACCAGAATATTTATGCAAAGTTTTAATCCATTTGGATAAACCCTCGAAGAAAAAAGTGACAAAATTGATTTTGACTAGGGTCGCCCCTAGTCCAAAATTGAAAATGTATTTCCTCCTTTTTTCTTTGCTCAAAAAAATTTTAAGATGTTTTATTTGTATTTTTTTTAAGCATTAGAATATTTATGCAAAGTTTCAATCCATTTGGATAAACTTTCGAAGAAAAAAGTGACAAAATTGATTTTGACTAGGGTCGCCCCTAGTCCAAAATTGAAAATGTATTTCCTACTTTTTTCTTTGCTCAAAAAAATTTTAAGATGTTTTATTTGTATTTTTTTTAAGCATTAGAATATTTATGCAAAGTTTCAATCCATTTGGATAAACCCTCGAAGAAAAAAGTGACAAAATTGATTTTGACTAGGGTCGCCCCTAATCCAAAATTGAAAATGTATTTCCTACTTTTTTCTTTGCTCAAAAAAATTTTAAGATGTTTTATTTGTATTTTTTTTAAGCATTAGAATATTTATGCAAAGTTTCAATTCATTTGGATAAACTTTCGAAGAAAAAATTGAGAAAATTGATTTTGACTAGGGTCGCCCCTAGTCCAAAATTGAAAATGTATTTCCTACTTGGTTCATTGTTCAAAAAAATTTTAGAATGTTTTATTTGTATTTTTTTTAAGCACTTGAATATTTATGCAAAGTTTCAATCCATTTGGATAAACCCTCGAAGAAAAAAGTGACAAAATTGATTTTGACTAGGGTCGCCCCTAGTCCAAAATTGAAAATGTATTTCCTACTTGGTTCTTTGCTCAAAAAAATTTTAGGATGTTTTATTTGTATTTGTTTAAAGCACCAGAATATTTATGCAAAGTTTTAATCCATTTGGATAAACCCTCGAAGAAAAAAGTGACAAAATTGATTTTGACTAGGGTCGCCCCTAGTCCAAAATTGAAAATGTATTTCCTACTTGGTTCTTTGCTCAAAAAAATTTTAGGATGTTTTATTTGTATTTGTTTAAAGCACCAGAATATTTATGCAAAGTTTTAATCCATTTGGATAAACCCTCGAAGAAAAAAGTGACAAAATTGATTTTGACTAGGGTCGCCCCTAGTCCAAAATTGAAAATGTATTTCCTCCTTTTTTCTTTGCTCAAAAAAATTTTAAGATGTTTTATTTGTATTTTTTTTAAGCATTAGAATATTTATGCAAAGTTTCAATCCATTTGGATAAAGTTTCGAAGAAAAAAGTGACAAAATTGATTTTGACTAGGGTCGCCCCTAGTCCAAAATTGAAAATGTATTTCCTACTTGGTTCTTTGCTCAAAAAAATTTTAGGAAGTTTTATTTGTATTTGTTTTTAACACCAGAATATTTATGCAAATTTTTAATCCATTTGGATAAACCCTCGAAGAAAAAAGTGACAAAATTGATTTTGACTAGGGTCGCCCCTAGTCCAAAATTGAAAATGTATTTCCTCCTTTTTTCTTTGCTCAAAAAAATTTTAAGATGTTTTATTTGTATTTTTTTTAAGCATTAGAATATTTATGCAAAGTTTCAATCCATTTGGATAAACTTTCGAAGAAAAAAGTGACAAAATTGATTTTGACTAGGGTCGCCCCTAGTCCAAAATTGAAAATGTATTTCCTACTTTTTTCTTTGCTCAAAAAAATTTTAAGATGTTTTATTTGTATTTTTTTTAAGCATTAGAATATTTATGCAAAGTTTCAATTCATTTGGATAAACTTTCGAAGAAAAAATTGAGAAAATTGATTTTGACTAGGGTCGCCCCTAGTCCAAAATTGAAAATGTATTTCCTACTTTTTTCTTTGCTCAAAAAAATTTTAAGATGTTTTATTTGTATTTTTTTTAAGCATTAGAATATTTATGCAAAGTTTCAATCCATTTGGATAAACTTTCGAAGAAAAAAGTGACAAAATTGATTTTGACTAGGGTCGCCCCTAGTCCAAAATTGAAAATGTATTTCCTACTTTTTTCTTTGCTCAAAAAAATTTTAAGATGTTTTATTTGTATTTTTTTTAAGCATTAGAATATTTATGCAAAGTTTCAATCCATTTGGATAAACTTTCGAAGAAAAAAGTGACAAAATTGATTTTGACTAGGGTCGCCCCTAGTCCAAAATTGAAAATGTATTTCCTACTTGGTTCTTTGCTCAAAATAACTTTCTTGTTAACTTGCTTGCTTGTTTGCTTGCTTACAGAAAGCATATTTTGCGATTTTCTCAGCAATGCCCCAACCAATTTGAAATCTGTTTTTTGAAAAAGATGTGAAATTCAAGGCACAAACTTTTCATCTCTGAACATTTTAAGCTATCTTGCTCCATATCCTCACAAAATCCAAAAAACTGATTTTTCAATCTGAACAAAAACAAAACATTCACACGTGAAAACGGTGTGAATATAAAAAAATCCCCATACAATGCGATTTAAATCATAAATCACAAATAAATCTTTCATACAAAATGATTTAAATCGTAAATCACAAATAAAATCTTTCATACAAAATGATTTAAATCATAAATCACAAAAAAATCTTTCATACAAAATGATTTAAATCATAAATCACAAATAAATCTTTCATACAAAATGATTTAAATCATAAATCAAAAATAAATCACTTGGGTAAAATGATTTAAATCTGAAATCATACTTCAAATCATTTTTCATTGAGATTTAAATCAAAAATCACAATTTGATTTGTGATTTTGATTTAAATCGCAAAAAACTCCCCCACCCTGAGTAAGTTAACCCTAATTAAGTTAATCAGATACTTGTTGATTCAGATCAAAAGCATTTAAGTAAAGAGTTTCAGGAAACAAAAAAATAGAATTCCAGATTAAAATGCAATTTCAATTTTAATTTTATTGAGTTTTTTTTTTTGAATATTTTATTCCCTGATTTCGTCAATAAAATTACTCCGAGTATAAATATTATTTACAGTAAGACAAACGAATTTCCAAAATTTGAAAAGCTTTTTCCAAAAAGCTCATCAATTGTGAGCTTACTGGAAGTCAAATCATACAAAAAGAAGACATTCCAAGCTCACTAATCGAATTAAAGATTTTTTGTCAACGAACTTCCAAATTGTATTAATACAGGCATGTAAATAATGTAGTTTGAAGGCAGGCGCTAAAATATAATAGAATTTGTTTATAAATTAGTAAATCAAATAAATTCACTAGAATTAATCAACGAACCAGCCTTACCAAAAGTATTGATTTGAATGACCCCCGAACATATTTTAATGAATTCAATAAGAATGAATAAAAATGAAGCAGTTATTAGATACAGTTAATTGCATTTTTCGAGAGAACCTTTGAATTATATTTTATATGCTGACGTAGATTGTTGCTTCTTTTTGTGTATGGAAAAATGAATTTCGTTTTTTATCTGGCAAGAAAAAAATTTATTAAATCTCGTCATTAACACCCCCCCCCCCCCCCCCCCCTCCAATTTTCAACTCTTTTTTCTCCAAATTTTGAAAATCGATCTAGCTGGATATTTCATACAGCACTGTTCTTAATCGTTTATGTAATGCAAATATTATCGGGTTCTTATTTTTAGAATTGTGAATTTTATTCAAATTTTTGAAAATTCAATCTTAAATTCGGCACGCAATGAATTGCGAGTTGCTCTCATTGTTTACCGGCTTTTTTATTACTCTCTCATTAGCGCATTTTTATGATTTTGTCAAGTAATCACTAATTTGTCTACTTTTTCTCCAGCATCATCAATTTTAAATATGCAACGGCTTTCAAAATTTTGAATCTATTATTTTGAAAAACTAATACAAACATACGAAAACTTGAATATCAAAAAATAGCTACTAGAAATGATTTTTACACAATTTTAATACAAAGCATAATAAAATGACAAAATTTCCTTCCCTATAGATTTGAAAAATGGCTGAATTAAGCATTCAATGACTAGAAATTTTAATAAATTATTTTATAAGTTTGATTGTGTTAGTGTAAAACTCATCAAAAATTGAATTCAGTTGAATTAAGGTTTTACTAGCGACTATAATTCATGAATTCTATTAATTACCTAGCTTATATTTATTAAGAACTGTTCTGATTCCTATAACATAAAAATTTAAAAAAATGCTCATCTATTTCACATGACTAAACATTTCTTACTAGGTACACTCATTCTCTCTCAAAAGAATAAAACGCTCAGCAAAAGAGAATTGGAAATCATTCACATCAGATATTTCCGTGAATTCGCATCGATTAAATCAGTTTTCTTAGTTAAAATAATTAACAAACATTAAAAATGGCTTGGGAAGGTAAAAAATACAAGTTAGATAAGCAAGAAAACTTTGAGGAATACATGAAAGCAATTGGTGAGTTTAATTAATAATATTTTTAAATTTTCCAACCTAGCAATATTGATTTTGCAAAAAAAAAGTGTGCAAAAAGTACGAAAAATAGTCACTTGACGCTAACCGGATATTTCAATTGATTCAATCATTTATGGAAGTTTTAAGTGCATTTAACAAAAAGAAGAAGTAACCCACAAAAGAAAATTCCAGTTGAAAAAGATCCAGTGCAATCTCTTTTCTTCTTATTGATCCACAGTACTATCTTTATCCCCTATAAAGATTCCATTTCTATAAAAACCGGTCTTAAACCGGCAGAAATCATGCGCAAATTCATGCATCACTCTCCCTTTTCACTGTTTACTGCTTGCTTGTTGAACAAAACATCTTCCCGAAATTGTCGACACAAAGCAAGCATGTGCTTGTAAAAGTGGCGTGATGTGTTATTTTATCGTCGTATGATATTTCTGAATGCAATTGAATAGGTTGAAATACAATAAATTGCTGATAAAAGGGATGTTTTGGCTATTCAGAACGAAAATAATAAATAAATCCACTGATTATGAATAAATAAGAATATGTATGTTTGGTAAATAGACCTCGTGCGACTATTAAATATTTAATGGTTATTACAGTTGCTTACTGACTGACTGTGAATAGCAATTAGAATGTTTTGGAAGCAAACTTCCTCATAAGCACCAATAGAGCATAATATAAACGCCTAGTTTTTTCACTCTGACTCAGAACAGCAATTAAAGTCCAAATGTTAAACATCCAGCACTTTCATACACATATATTTAAACATTGCTGTACTTCCATTCTTTCGGAAATAAAAAGAAGCAAACGAAATTTCAACACTTGCTTTTGTAAGAACTACAAACAAGGTGAAGAGGAACGCGAAACAGAAATAAATGACTTTGAGACGAGGGTTCAAATATTTACAGAATACACAACTGTGTAAACTTGCATACCGTCAATAATTTCCATCCCAAACATTATCCACTGTTCTCGTTAAATTAATACACATATTTTATTTGGTTCCAACCAGCATGACTCGTGAAAACCATTAGCCTTAATTTATCCAGTCCATATACTTTTTAAGTTTATAAATCTATTGCTTCACTTCACATTACAATCGATAAGATAACAACATTTGATGTTGTTAATTATATAATTTCGATAATTCTTATCACTGAGAAGCATGGCTATCAAGTACAAAACGATGCATTATTGGTGCATGACTGTCTGTATATTTTGCTCCATGCTATTTATAAATTATCCAATCGAGATTTTTAAAATGCTTGAAATTGGTCGTAATTCGTTGTGTAATACATCTAGATTTCACTTCTATTATAATGCCGGTAATCGCATAACAATCATTAATGATGCAAATTATCTGAGCTGCTAATGATGCTCAAAAGTTCGTTAAAACTTTGAATCATCAGAAAGCGTTCAGTAATCCAAATTTCAGTTCAATTCAAATTTTTGAAAACCGTTTAAATTTTAAATTACAGTTAATAATTTCAATAAACTTTTGAAACATCCTTAAACCAAATTGAACAGATTTTATAGCCACAAAGTAACAGACAGACCAAATTGATAAAGAATCAGTTTCAAAAGTTCAAGTTACAGGTTTATAAAATTGATAACTTCATAATAGCGTGAATAGAATGCTCGATAATGAAGTAAACAACATTTTAAGTCTGCTGAGTTGCACTTGAATTCTTTAAATTCTGATTTGTTTGTCAATAGGGTGATAAACTATTTGATACGTAATTGAAAATATCAAATTACTGCATGAGTCAGGCAATAAATCTTTGATTGACTTGACAGTAATTTGTAATAATTTCAAATAACTGTAAAGAGCTTAATCCGATTTCTTTTGTTGTTCAATTACATTAATTTAATTTAATTAAATTGTGCGAAAGAAACGTCTGGTTCGGTGTAGCTTGATTTAAAAATTTTATATTGTTGCATCTTCATTTTCGGTACTGCGTAAACTTGTTTTAGAGTTCATTGATGTTTGCTTTACTAATTTTTCACTGTTTCGTTTATTTGCAGGCGTCGGCATGGTTCTCAGAAAGGTAAGCTACCCCAAAAATCCACAATTTTATCCTATTTAACTTGACTTTATCCACATATATTGCAGATGGGAATGACAGTCAGCCCAACATGCTACCTCGTTAAGAATGGAGATGAATATAGCTTCCATACTGATTCCACATTCAAAAGTTCCGTCATCAAGTTCAAGCTCGGTGAGGAATTTGAAAATGAGACATTGGATGGACGTAAAGTTCAGACAGTCATTACACTCGATGGCGATACAATGACTCAGGTTGAAAAGGGTGAAAAGAAGTCTGAAATCATCCGTGAATTCTCGGATACAGAACTGGTTGTCACATGCACATTTGATGAAATCGTCTCCAAGAGATGGTATAAACTTGTTGCTTAAGCCTTAAGATATAAAATCTACATATATATTGTATCTGCATGCGACCAAAAAAAAAATAAGCATCAAATAATCATTGCTTCATACGAAACTATTACACATAAAGTAATAACTAATCTCTTTGCATTTATTGAATTTTTATCAATATTTTTAAAAAGTTTTCCATTTCTGTGAAATATCTTTTATTATTTCACATCAATTTATAACAAGACAATTGATGTAGCTTTTTATTATCTACTGTATCATCTTGTACACGCAGAAATGTCTTAATAAAGAAAATTTAATTCATCTATTTAACGTATTTTTGAATTTTGAAATAATGTTGCGAAATTATCGCAATCAACGGTCAAAAATTATTCAAATTACAGCTGAATTCAGAGCGAAAAATCAAGCCCGAGCTGCACATTTTAGTCGTGAGCTGTGATTAAGTTTATGTAATTTTCAGCGACAATCATTTTTTCTTCACATGCTCTTTGATGGAGTGACAGTAAGTTGAAATATCGAATGACATGACATAATTATATAAAATGAAAGAAATGTCACTGCTTCATTAAAATCAACTTGGTTACCTGAAGACAGTCACAGTCATGCGTAGCTTGGGTCAGTCTAATTTTGCAATGTTATGAACAACATCGATTCATAACAGGTTTCCTTAAAACTTTTTCAGTTTTTTATTATCAGTGAGCAGTGAATGACTTGAGTTCGGTCGCAATCGTTAAGCAGTTTAGTTGTTCTATAATTCCATGACATTTGCATTTTGTTAATTCAGTGATAATTGTGAAAAAAGTTCATTTTAAAATCAGGTGATTTTTTTTCTTACTTGAATCTTATGTTTTATACAGCACATCACACAGCATATTCCATTCAAAGTTCGCTGTCCAAAAATACATGTTATGCAATCGCTTCGCATTCATTATTCGGGTAGTCTAAGGTTCATAGGAAATTTTCGACACACAACAATGAAATAAATGAAAAAGAAATAGAAACTTGAAAATTTACGTCAATAGCTACAAAAGTAAAGCAAGTAGGCAGTCGGCAGATATATATATATATATATATATATATATATATATATATATATATATATATATATATATATATATATATATATATTATTTTCGTACTTTTTGGAGGCAAAGCGTACGTTGCCGCATAATAATAAGAAGTTTTCAAATCTCTATTTTTGCTATGTGCTGTGCTGTACAGCATTAGTTAACAAGATAAAAATTGTGTAAGGTGCCAAAAGTCTTTGCGACTAAAAAAGTCATTTAATTCTAGCATTTATCGTCAAAAATGGATACGACTAAACTGTTCCAATGTTTTCGTCAACAATATGAATCGCCAGCATTAAGGACTGGACAAACAACGGTTAGTCCATTTTTAAGCAGACCATGGATGTTGAATAATTCAGCAGCTGCTGGTGGAGGAGATGGAAAGAAGGGATTAAAAGGAATTGTTGCTGGTGGCATTACAGGAGGTCTCGAAATCTGCATTACCTTCCCAACAGAATACGTCAAAACTCAATTACAATTGGACGAAAAAGGTATGATCATTCGATTCTTAATGACGTCACTTATTGACTATCAGTCACAAATTTACATTGTCTTTGCATTATTTTTTGAGTGCTTACTTAACAATTTAATGACTTCTAGGTGCCAATAAGCGATATAATGGCATTTGGGATTGTGTTCGTAAGACTGTACACGAACGTGGTGTTTTTGGGCTTTATAGAGGATTGAGTGTACTCGTCTATGGCTCAATTCCAAAATCAGCTGTTCGGTTAGTAAATAAATACTTTAATCATTATGCCGACATGATTAGATAAGAATGAATTAAATGTCAATTATAGATTTGGTGGATTCGAACAAATCAAGCTGTATCTTGTGGACGAGAAAGGAAACTTGAGTGGTGGTGGAAAACTTTTGGCTGGTCTTGGTGCTGGTGTTTTGGAAGCTATTTTTGCAGTTACTCCAATGGAAACCGTCAAGGTCAAGTTCATTAATGATCAAAGAAGTGCAAATCCTAAATTTAAGGGATTCTTCCACGGTGTCGGTAGTATTGTAAAGGCTGAAGGTCTTTCTGGAGTTTATAAGGGTGTAACTGCTACAATTTTGAAGCAAGGATCAAATCAAGCCATTCGATTCTATGTCATGGAATCACTTCGTGAAATGTACAAAGGAAATGATCCAAATAAGCATACGCCAAAACTTGTTGTTGGATTATTTGGTGCTATTGCTGGAGCAGCTTCCGTTTTCGGAAATACTCCAATTGATGTCGTCAAAACTCGAATGCAAGGCTTAGAAGCAGCTAAATATAAGAGTACAGTCGATTGTGCTGTACAAATTTGGAAAAATGAAGGTCCATTGGCATTTTACAAAGGCACCGTCCCTAGATTATCACGTGTGTGTCTTGATGTGGCTATAACTTTTATGATTTATGACAGCTTTATGGATCTTTTTAACAAGGTTTGGTAGTAAACCTTACAATTTTTGGGGAATGAGCTTAATTACTGATATTTTGCACCGCCATAGAAAAAATTATTGTATTGAATGTTGCACAAAAATCAAACGAAAATTAGTGGATCAAAAAAAAATGTTATTTTTCGGATATCCGGATATCTTATTTAGTGTGCAATTAGGTCATGTTTTACGGACAAAAAACTATATTTGATGATATATACAAAATAGGAAAAAGGGAATTAAGTCAATTTAAATTATTTTGTGTTCATGTTCAGTACTTTTGGGAACATTTTAATCATTATGGGCAGAGCTTTTGAAAGCTTTTTCAAAAAGCTCACATTTTAAGTCAAAATTATCAAAAAGCTCACATTTTAAGTCAAAGTTGTCAAAAAAGCTCAAATTTTAAGGTTACTTTTTTCAAAAAGCTCAACTTTTGAGTCAAAATTATTAAAAGTTCAACTTTTGAATCAGAAAAGTCAAAAAAAAACTTTAAAAGCTTTAAACCTAGGTTTTACTCGAAGAAAGCTCAAAAGTTTTGTCCATAATTATTAAAACCATGCATATTTATCAATTTAATATCTCCTCATTCTAACTTTGAGTAAGTTAAGCATTTTAAATGAGAGGATATCCATTAAAATCACAAACAGTGACAACAAATTGATTTGATTTGTTTGACTATCAGCTAAATGATTATAAGAAACAAAACATTACATAAACCTCACTTTTATACAAAAACAAAATTGTATACAGCATAAAACTGCATCTGTTCATCACAAAATCATTCCGTACTTTATTTTTTCTAGTAAAAACAAATATTCAGTCTCTTTTTTGTTAATTATTTTATGTATTCAATACAAATTCTGTGCATTTCTTTATGGAAGGAAAATAAAAATATTTTCGTTATCTTTAAATCTTTATTATTTTACTCTTTATCTTTAATTTTCATTACTAATGGATTTAATAGTTTACTTTCGTAAGAAATGGATTACAAAATATATATTTTCAAAAAATATTAATAAACATATTGTTGGTTACGTAAACTATGTTTCATCACTTTTGTTTCCGTATTATGTTGCTTAATTAACTTTTAATGATTCATTTCTTTTCTTGATATTTAACGGATTTTGATATTTAAAAATCAAAAAACTTTTTTACAGGTTTTCAAAATAATCAAAAGAAAATTATTCGAATCTAAAATATCCGTTAAAAATTTTAAAAACGTAATTGGTCCATAGCTGTTATGGATTTACATGAACGATACTGGTTCAATTTCAAAAATGCTCAAAGTCTTGTTGAAAATAGTCTGAACGGCTTTCAATAAATGGATTTTAGCGTGTAAAATTGGAATAAGTTGTGGACGGTTCTCAGTTAATACTTTCTTCTTGCTATAATAGTTGCTGAATGCCTTTGCGAGATGCTGTAGATATTTATAAAGTAAATGAAGTCCAATTTTGCCGTTCTTTAAATCACCAAGTGAGTTTTTAATGACATCGGGATATAGCATTAATTGTTTGAGTAAAATCCATTCCTCGTTATCAGTCAATAGATTCATATCGATATCATCCAGTTCGGGCAAAGGCTGATAATATCCACTAGCTACTTTCTCATTAAAACTCTTCAAAAGTGTCTCAATCCTAGCTGAATTATAAAGTATAAATGCTTGCTTCACGTCAAATGTGAGAGTTAAAGGATTTGAATGCTTGACTTCAATCATGTCCAATTTTCCAGCGGCAGTTCCAAGATGTTCCTTTAATTTTAAGAAATTATCATCAGACTTTATACGAACTCCATATTTATGAAGAGCCATAAGATGCATGTCATCAATCCTTTTCTTCATATAGTCATCTGCTGATTGATGAGATATCTTCTTATTGTTCCTGTCCATGTCACGTACAACAGAGCATACAATTGTTATATCTGAGTTTGTACATTCATTATCTCTCTTGAAATTCGATCTTGTTGTCAACAAAACTTTGTGATCGGCAGTTGAGTCATCAGTCAGTGTATATTGTGAGTATGAGATAAGGTTCTTTAGGACTAAATTTATTGTCTGTAGACGGAAATTAGTAATGGACGAGTTTTCAGTTTCCAATATATTGATTGACACAGTTTCTCCACATTTTTGTGCCCTTCCGAAATCCTCTGATGGAATGGACTTAAACATTGTCTTGAACGTGCTGTTCCTCATCAATTTAATGAAGCATTTCATGTTTTTAACTTCTAGATTATCAATTTTAAGCGCAAACTTTTCCGATTCATTTTTTAATGCATCCATTGCTTGTTTCTCATCATTATTTTCATTATCTGTAGCATAGATCAATATGTTATTGTTGAATGATCTCGATTCCTCGAATTTAAAGTAATTAGCCCATAAATCAAGATTTATTGTAAAACAAAAATCCGGTCCATCATTAACTTCAAATTTTATCAAATTCTCTGCAGGATTCTCTGTCCTTAGTAGATACTTTCCAAGCTGTTCTTTAAATGTATGCAATTCACTCATCTTTTATGCTTAATTATACTTATTGACGGCTAAATATTTTATTCTATTTACAGACAGTTTTCTCGTGGTTTTTTGTTATTGTTTTTTATCGAGCAAAAATATTCAGCAGTTTGAATTTATGACGACAGTTACAAAATATGAATTTATTTCAGCCGTTGCGAAAATATCGACAGTATGAATCACTTTTTTGCGTATTAAGCTTCCTTATATTGGAAAATGCGTCACTGAAATCAAAGAGAAAGAAGATGTAAATAAAAACAAGAGATGTTTAGTGGTGGTAGGTATATAAACTGATGATAAAACTGTTTATTTGTCAATTTTTAAGTTTTTTACTGCTTGTTCCTGATTGAGAAAATTTAATTATAGCCAATTGATTGATGGGAAAATTTTGTATCCACCACTATAAGAAGATCATGTTTTGAATTTGTCACTGATGGTGCGATGTCTTCCTTCACAATTTGTGTAAAAGTAATTAATTCATTTGCTGACTTTCGTTTACATGCAATCGAAGATCTTTTGATGATCAAATTTAAAATTTTTCCAGCTCTCTGGAATGTCAAATGCAAATGGCTTTACTGCGTTCCGTTGAGGTCTCATGTTTTCCTTAGTTTCCGAGAAAAGTCTTCGTTTAATTTGCTCAGGTTGTTGCTGTTGCTGATGTCCATTGATTGGTGTCGAAGTGTTATTTTGTAATTTTAAGTTATCATTATAAAAGGTACCACTAGTTGAGGGACTATTAGAGTCCAATATATCACTCGCAGACTTGTGCCTTGCTTTCAAATTACGATTATAGTCCGCATTATTATTAATATTATTAATATTGTTATTTGGAAAATATGGAGAATGATTATTGAGTTGCTGTTGCTGCTTCTGATGCATCTTATTGACAAATAATGAAGTTTTCTTATTGCTATGCTTGCCTTTCTGCTCTCTCTTTCCCTTATTTCCAATGACTTTTGTCAATCGTTCATTTGCAATCCAATGCTTTAATTTTGAGATGAATGGCAAGATCATGTAAAATGAATTAGCACGAATTTTCCTTTGATCCTTAAAATATCCATCATCGGATCTTGTCGTTGGTAATTCGTCCACAGTAAACCATGAACAATCTTTAATTTCATTTCTTGTACGTGGACAGAATTTCGTTTCAATTGGGACATTCTTAACGACATAAAGTCGAGTATATTGATAATTACTAGTTTGTCCTTCAATAAAATCAATCTCGCTTATCAATTGACTACAATCATAGCCAGTTTCTTCATAAACTTCGCGGACAGCACACTTACATGGATCCTCATTCTCATTGACTTTTCCTTTTGGAAATGACCAGGAATTCTTAGCAAAGAATGATTGGACCAAAAGGCAATTTTTCAAGTCAGCCGTCAATAGAATTGCACCATAAGTTGGTACTGACATTTTATATGATCTCCATTCGTCCAATAATGTATTTAAATTATGTGAATGATGATTCAGAAATGGGATGTGCTCAAAAATGCACAATGCAAACTGTTTAATGCCACATGAATATATGGAATTCTCCTCTTGAGTACAGTAAAAGTCCAAGAAGAACCAATGAGCTAGCTCTATTTGGAAAAAAAGACGAATTAAGTCGTTCTTCTCAGCATCCGGCTGCAAAATAAGTGATATAAATTAATAAATCGCAATATCATCGAGAGACTAGTGACGATTGTGAATGTTATGGATGTAAACAGAAAATAAGAAGAAGAAAAGACACAAATAAAAATTGAAAATTTCAAAACTTACTAAATTAATCAAGAATTTGGAGCTTAAATCGTCCAAAATATGCACTGGGACACGCGAAGATGGTGTCTTTGAACGATTCGATACTTTTGTGGCCATTATAACACTATTTTACTGCTTAAATTAATTAATTTTCGTTTTCACTCTTTCTTCAATGTTTTTCATTTTATTCTCGAATAATCGAACTTACTTTGAATTTTCTTTTACCGTTACATTTTTCAAAACAGTTTTATATCGAATTAAAATCATTTAATTAAGCTTTATTAGGTGTTTTAAGTTGGTTTTCTGAATTTACATTGTATCCATATCCTATACATTTTTAACATTTTGCCACGGTTGACTTGTAATCTTCTATCAATTGCGTTAAATTCCTCGGTAAATCCTTTAGACGTAAAAATGTCTCTAATTTCTTCTTGCGTGAAAAAGTAGCACCTAGTTCCATCGCCTCTGAGGTAAAAATTATCTTGCAAGCACTTGCCATTTTTAAATCTTAGCTGTGCCATATCATACCGTCCATAATCTCTAAAAAGCACTAGACCTCCTTTCTTCAAATACTTGTAGATGTTCTCAACGACTTTAGTGAACTTGTCTGGATTAATTGCTGACATCACAAAGATCAGAACGATTATATCAATCGAGTTTTCCTCAAATGGAACTACCCAGTCGTCAGATGTTGCGTCTAAAACAAAAGCCTGGCATCTCTTTATATCATATTCTGGACTCTCTTTGAGGATTTTTATTGCTTCTTCACTAAAATCGGAAGCATAGACCTTCAAATTGCTCTCAGTGCTAAATTTAAGAATTGGGAATATAGTGTTTCCAACTCCACTACCAATTTCAAATATTTTTCTTTCCTCAGTGCTTCTGGTAACATCCAGACTACTCATTTTATTAACAATCTCTTCACTTTCTGGATATACCCTCTCAGGGGCTTCATTTTTGTAAGGAACAAGCTCTGGAAATTCAGTAAATAACCAAAGGCGGTCTTTGAAGAAGCGATTATTATGGATCCCATAGAAGGAATCCCATTTATTAGCCTGTGACTCCTCAATAGATTCAATTTCTTCTTGTGAGAACCTGATTTGACTGTTTTTCTCTACAGCTTCCTCAGCTAGCTTCTTTTGTTCTTCAGTCCATTCCACATTATCCCTAAAAGATGATTATTAAAAGTTCATTCATCTCACTAGATGTTTGTCACACATTTTACCAAGCATTGAAATCAAAAACATTTGAAGCATTTTCAAGCTTTCTATCTCCAATTCTTGGTTTCTTACGAAATCGTGTATGCTCATAGCATAAAGATCTAATATATTTACCAAGCATTATGCTGGAACACTGTCGAATCATCATCATTCTCGAGAAATCTATTTCCAAACTGTGGACGTCTACTTTCAGTCATTTAAACTAGATCCAGTGAAACTTTTTAATCTTTTGTAAGTGCTGCTGAAAATTTTAACTGAGGTATATCGGGTAGAAACCCAATGCGGATATATTCACACCGTATCATCGCAATCTTGTGGATTGACCCAACTTCGCTCAGCATATGTTTGATTTGACATTACATGAATACGGTGTGAATATTAAAAAATCAACATCAACAAAGTCATGTCGTTAAAAATATTAAAATTGCCTCAATTGCCAGAGAAGCTTAAAGGAACAATCGTAGAACGATGGATCAACTACTGGAAAGGCCTTGGACGTGATTATAAAGGTAAATTAAAGTTTAAAAGGAAAGTTATTTGAAAAAGGTTAACAAATTAATAATTGCAGAAGTCGGAAAGGATACTTTAAAGTTCATGAAGGCAAATCCAGTAAAGTCGTCAATCTATGGATCAATCGGACTATCTTCATATATCAGCTATAAAACAAACCCAACGTTTGAACAATATACTGATCAATTAAGAACAGCACAAAATCTTATTGGAATGGTTTTTCCTGAATCGCAGAATCCAAAAACTTTAGGATATTTAAGATATATGGAACACTGTAGAAACGAGGAGAGAATTAGAATATCATCATTTGCTCTGTTTTCATTCATTTGGGTTCATGACAATTCCAATCATTTATCAACTGCCGATGCTAAATGTGACTACTTAAAGCCTACATATTCGTCCATGTACGATAGAATTGTTGATTTTGGATTCTATGGTACGTACTGGAACCTGAAGAAGCAAATGGAAAATTACGATGTTAATTTATAACAATTTTTATTTAATTAAAATTAGATTATATATAGCAATTATAAAATGCTTTAACTACTCAATAGCTTCTGTAGCTTTAATATCATTGATAATAGGTGCATTTGAGTGATTATAGTCTTGCTATCAAATGTTTCAGAGAAAGCAGGCAAATTAAGCACTTGTAGCGTGTGCTGTTGTTCTAATACTAAAGAATCGAGATTCTGAACAATTGCTCTGTCCAAGTCTTTTAATTTCTTTGCATGCTGCTTCTTTAGCAGCTGGACTGTATGGACGACTTCATCGCTATCATTTAATTTTTGAACATAGCTTTCAATTTCCTTTTGATTCTCTAGTATCAAGTCATCTCGTTGCTTCTTCAGAACATCCTCAGTTGCATTCTGATACTCATTTAACTTCCCAACGACCTCGAATATGTGCTCATCATTCACCAAGACATTTGCTAAAATAATCAAAGCGTCAACTATTATAGATCAACATATTTTAAGGCAAGCCTTACCCATTGTTATTAAATTCTCTAATGGGATACGATTCTGAATGTCTGTATCTAATTTTCCATGAAACTCTTTCAACTTATCGACCATAAAATACAGCTTCTTTTGGAGTTTAATGTTATCATCATCCGTCATTCTTCTGTGCCTGTTTATGTTATTCAGAAGGTATTTGAACTGAAATTGTTTTCTGGACAAGACTGCTTTAATTTATAAAGATCTTGAGGAACTAAGCGCATTTACTGCAGACTAAAACAATCACCAGATTCAACCATTTCGAAAGGTTTAAATTTTAACGGTTTTCCAAATTTCAAAATGAACTGAACAGTTCTGATCCTTCGTCAATGATGTTTACAATGAGTTTTAAGAAAAAACTTAATTTTATCAATAATTAGCAGGTTAAAGAAGCAAAATCTACTACAATCACATCAATCAAACTATTATAAATGCAGTAAAATGGACAAACTGATCACTGCAACTGCAGAAACGCAAAAAAATAGATTCTCGAAATCTCGAAGGTCGAAAAATCCACAAAAAAATGACTTGTAAATATTTACATTTTTAGACTAAAATTCAAGCTCAATTTAATTTATTACTTTATATTAATCAATAATACACTAATTAAGATACAAACAACACTAATTGAGAACGAAAGAGACATTGTTGGACAATTCATCACTGATCAGAGCAACGATAGAAAATTCTTCATTCTGTAAATGTATTTTATTGTGTTCGGTCGTGAAAAAATTTATTTCCTGTAAAAAATTCGGTATATTCGTGTTTAAAAGCTTAATTAAGCTATTAATTATATCTAGAACAGATTGTTTAACCAGTGTATAAGGTGGAAAAGCTGGAAAAATAGTTAAAAAGTGCACAAAATTCGATAAAAAGGATTAGTCATACGAGCAATTTGGATTTTTCCACAACAAAAAAGAATTTAAAAGTATATACAGCTAAATCATAAGCAAAATGGGAACTAATTCATGGGGAATTGAGTTATGGGTAAGTAATTTTATAAATATTTGCGAATAAGAATTATAAAGGATGTATTTGAGGTGAAATAATAATATTAAGACAAAGCTAGTGCGCATTTACAGCTAAATGAATCATGTGAAAACATTAAGGAATTGCTAAAATGAGTGCTAGTGTACAACTAAATATGTTGAAATTAAAGTGTAATGAAATTTATCGCCATAAACTTGTCTTGAGATATTTTCTGTGTGCTGTGTGTTGAAATGAACGTCGTGTAAGAAGAGAGCGAATAAAAGTTGCAAAACAAGCTATTACCAAGAAGTAAAGATGAAATGAAAAAGAATTTAAAATTCGCAAAAAAGACTAGCGTTGAAGAAATAAAGAATAAAAATGTCATGTTCAAAGTGCATGAGAATATTACCAAGTTCTCGACAGTTCTCCACAAATGATGCCTTAACCGATTCCATTGTGTTCACGCGCAAAACGAGCTACTTGAATGAGTCATCGAGTGCCATTTTCAGACTCAATAAATATTGCTAGCTACTATTTTGCTCTAATCATTAACTGATAATTCATACATATGAGAGCATAGAGCTTGCTATCTTGTACAAGTATATGTACATAAAGGAACTACGATAAGTTGATATGCACTTTATCTTATCAATCGACTCATTTCTTTTTATTTGCAAACAGTCATTCAATTTATCAGGGCATTTTCGATAGAAATAAGCAGTTACTGTATTATGGCTGAGCATAACGTCTTTGTCGTTCCATTTCATTGGACACACCACACAAAACCGAACCTTATTTCTGATTTCACCTGTTATTTTTGATAAACAGTCGATTGAGGCTACATGTCGCAGGCTATAGACTGTATTTTTAATGTCTTGAAGCTCATAAAACTGAAATGTTATTTTGTAGATAGACGAAAAAGAATGTAAAAAATGTGTCAGTGGAGTTTCATTTTTGGTTCATTTCATGCCATGCATTTCCATGTACTGTGTTGGCTATTATCAGTTTTTTCAATACAATTGTAATGGTAATAATGCCAGAATATTTCAGGAAATGTACTGATTCAAGTGACATTGTCGTTGCATAAGAATGCGGCCTACACATAAGCTCCATAAATTTCAAATACAAGTATATTTAATATTTTTTTATTAATTGTATGTGCGCCTCATATATACGTCCATACGAGGTCAATAATCTTCATATTCTTTCTTCTTAAAATTATTATTCTGAGGACTGAGGACAAATACACATTTGGCAAAAATATGGTCAATGCAATGTTGCCGATTTCGCACTGTAGATCATGCCAAAAACACGTAATTAACCTCTCCGCCAGCTTTCTTCTTTGTATACACACTTATAATAATATTGTTTTGATAACATTTTTCATGCAAAAAACTAAAGAGTAAAGGAACCGGTTTGAGAAATTCTCCTCATATTCACGGGAAAAAACACAGAAAATCTTCTTAAACCTTTTTATTTATTTTTCAGTATACACCCACGACATTTGTATTAATTTAACGACAGCGTGATCGTTCCTTGCCAAACATACATCTTGTCTGGCTGCTGCTGCTTCTGCCTCGTTTATAGAACATGTATTTACCTAAAATAAACATTAAACTGAAAGTGTAATAGTAGTGAGAGGAACGGAGCAAAACCTTATGTTTAAATATCAGCAACAATGAATGCTTTTAATCAGACAGAATATCGACATTGTTTAAAAATGAATGAAATGAAAAGAAATTCTTCACTTCATTAAATCATTCACTAAATTTGTCTGCGATCTTGTTGTGCGCAATAAATGTCATATTTTCCTTCTTTTTTTCATGCATGATTATACAGGCAATCGACAAATCAGGTAGTTTTAGTTCAGGTGAAATTGTTTACCATATCCATCACAATTCATGGAAAATAATGCATCAGACATTAATACACAAAAGCAAGAAAGTATTTAAGTAATTTTTACGTTCTTTTTCTTATAAGACTACTCTAGTTACGCATATTCTAGCAGCTAGCTTATCATGTTGATATTCATTTCATTCAAGATTTGTGTATTTTAAAAATTCGTGTAAAATAAGCTTCTACACGAGCGTTGCTGATCATCTTTATGCTAATTATACAATCTTAACCGTCGTTTTGACTATGTGATTGGATATCACGTTTTTATGACTGAATTTTTAATCAGCTTGAAATTCGTTATTTTTTGCTTCAAATTAAATCTGTCGTTCAGTAAATCTCATTTTATGTCAATTTCGTTCATTTGAGATTAAAATTCGTTCAGTAAAACATGGTCTCAACTGAAATGAATTCATTTCAACTCGGTTCATTATAGATTCGTTCAATACATTTTGAACAAGTTTGAATTTTTGAAAACCGTTATAATTTGAATTTTTAGAAACCGTTTAAATTTAAAATTTTAAAAACGGATTATCAAAAATTTCAATCCACTTTGAGACGATGCGCTATTACGATTCACATGTTGTAATACATTCAGACATTTCCTTTCCCCAAAAACTAAATTTAGGTTGAAATAAATTCGGGTATGTCGTGGACATAAAATTAAATTATCACGAGAGGAAATTTTCTTTAATTAATCTTTCTTTCGACGCAATGTTTCTATGAAAACAACAATCATCATCATAACTTTTTATTTGTATGGCGATGTGTGTCTTGTTGACTAAAAATAAAAATGAGAATGTGTTGTGAAACTCACAAGCGATTCCTCGAAAAAAAAAACATTTAAATCGATAGCGAAAAAAAAAACATTTTTCGCTATATAAAAAAATATAAATTTAAAAGAATGGAATGCGTTAAACGCCTTTAATTGTTTTGCTGAAAAGATTTTTGGTGAACCGGAGTGTATAAAATGTGAATGACTTAATTTAAGATCAACCATGTCAATGTTGTGCCTTCTCATTCACAATATAATGTAAAAAAAAATCTAAATCTATTACCACTCAATTTACGTTGGTATTGCTATACTTATTTACAAACAGAAGGTAGAGAGTGGAAAAAGGCATTAAGTAGCATGTGAATCATGTGCACAAAAAGAGAGTATAATAAAAAGCGTGAAATTAAATGAGAGGAAAAATGTGATTAAAATAAAGAAAAGAAATTTTTAGCGCAATTTCGTCAATCTGCTATTGTTTGGGGCTTATTTTGACCCATTGACTGACTCATCATACTATCATACACTGATTTGTTTATATCTTGTTGCCAAAAGTTCTTCTTATACGTCTTTAATTTTTAAAACACAGATTCAGTTTATCCACCCGCATAAAAATTATTTTAGTAGCATTAGCAGTAAGTAACACTCTTGGAACTTTGCATTGCCAAATTCTCTTTTACTTCCAAATGGGTCATGAGTAATATTTTTTTTTTATTACTTCACAGCCAATTGAACATACAGTTATCTGAACAAATCTGTATGGCTCTCAATATGAAAATTATTCATATATATGAATTTTCATTGTCCAGACTTAACGTCTGAACGTGAAACAACGTCATTTACTTGGGCAAATCAACATTCTCTTATCTCTTCCTATACATACTACTCCTCTCTCCTTTGTTCTCCGTTCATACTTAATCTGAATCTTTGATCTGAAATAAAACCAACGTAATTTATTCATTTCATTCAATCAGCACGACCGGTCATGAAAACAAATAATTGAAAATTGCAATAAGTTCCATAAATGACTGTGGATGTGGCAGGGGTGTATTCAATGATTTTTAAACAAAGCCAAGGATCGTAATCAATGCAAACTAGTGATTTAAAGGTTTAATTGAACTTTTTGCAGCCTATAGTTCCAACTGGGAAGCTGGTTAAGTGATTTCTTATCTTACACATAAAGTAATGATTTCTAGACATAGATACTCCCTTATCCCCACTTGTACAGATTGCTCATTCATTTACATGTGATATAAAGCATAGAAATGTAACTTTTTCAGACATAATCATCTTCGAGATTACATCTGCTCTCATATAACTCACTTCCTCTCTTGGCTATCACTCAATATGAATAATTTTCTTTCTTTTTCCGCATCAATTATTCAAGAGTTGCAACAGCATCTCTTTGTTACGATAGATTGAAGATGCATACTCATGATTTTATCGGTCCTAAACAAGCCATTACATTGCAATAATTCATTACTTTCAATTTTTCATCATAAATAATTCTTTTAATTCTCTTGCATTTATAATTTCACAACAGCTTAATTCGTTTATAATCATTGAGGGTTTTGTGGACTGTGCAGTACAGGTAGAAAATTTGCCCTTTAGACATGGTAATTATTTTTTTAAGTACTTCCTGAGTTTGTTCATGTGATGTCCACTTTTACTATTGTTGTTGAATGTCAATATGGCGCACAAGTATTTTATCGACTCAATGCCTTTGAAGCCATACACAACATACCTTCAGTTCTTCTATTCTGGTTATTCAAACGTTCCAAAATTCAATTATTTGATGTTCTTAATGGAACAGTGATTTTTTGGTTTCCATGCTGTTCATTTACATCCATCCCCAACCTGAACTTGATTGTTAGCTAAATCAAAATATTGATCTACATAAATTCATTATGGCTGTTATGTGCTTAATACTGTGTCTTCATAATTACCTTTTATCAAATGAGTTTTTGAAACAACATAATAATCGATTGGGTTATTACAGTTTTTAATGAATACCTCTTTTCTTTACACACCGTTAAACTGGAAAAGTTTTCTCTTTTCCTCTCTTTTTACAGCTTAGATCTTAGTTTAGTTTTTTGGGGGAAAAAAGTTGTTTCTGTGTGCATTTTTCATGATGCTTTAAGTGGATCAAATTTTTTGTCTAGCTTAAAAACGTAATGATCCATAAAAAGCCCAAAAAACAACTTCAATTGAGTGAAATAGCTCAGAAAATGTGTTGAATCTGAAGAGAGAATAATGTTAATTTATTATAAAGAGAAATTTTTGTAACTCCTCCGAACTGTACATCATGGGAATTGCAGTCATACGGCTTCTATGTGCTAGGGGCGACTCAACT